CAATAGACAATCACAGTCTGCTTAAACTAATAACACACAAGAATGAAATGTTGCCATGTTTTTATTGAACACACCATGTAAACATTCACAGTGCAGGTGGAAAAAGTATGTGAACCCTTGGATTCCTCTGTCAAAATTTAGTATTTCATACTTCTCCTTAGGGTATTTCCGTACTTTGGTTCCTGTTTCTTTTTTTTCTTTGTTAACCCTATACAGGGTTATGCCCTAATTGGAAATTTACCCTTTCAGAGACCAAATCTCTCTTTTTTTCCTTCCTTTTTAGGTCATCTAGGTGACCGAATGCTGTTTAGAGTCGCAGAGATGACGTGGACTAATAAGAACAGGGGGCTGCATTTACCTGAACATGCATAAATGGGGTGCTGCTGGGGCCAATTCATACAATACACAAGATCCAGCGCATTCATTATCCACTAAACAGCAATTTCAAAGCTCGCAGATTTTACCAGGGTTTTTTTTTTTGAGGGGGGAGGGGAGGGTTTAAAACGCCTAATCTAATTGGTGTTTAGTTACAGTATATGATCATGTAATGCATAAGCCTGCCACAACGTCAATGTACCCCATTTTTGGCAGGTTCTATTCAAACAACCTAATGTCTGTTCTTATGAGCTTAATTAATTTACTTGAGGAAAAAAATCTATCTGGGGCTCTCTGTAGAGCAAGGCCAAATAGGGCCCTGAAATGAGGCATCTGTGATAGGGAGGGGTGCAAAACCAAGGAGTTGGCCTAGACTTCCAAATATATAAATGAAAACAGGGGCTGTACTCACCTGAACTTTCATAAATGGGTTGCTGCTGGGGCCAATTAATACAATACACAAGATCCAGCCCACTCACTATCAACTGGACTAATGGGAACACATGTGAAACTTGTTAAAGCCTATTCAGGCCCTTACTCATAGCCCTATCATATTTTTTGTTTAGTAACATGTTTAGTGCTCCTGTGACTGTCTTGTGATTTCCTGTTTTTGACCTTGGCTCCATTTAAACTCTGTTATCCTCTGGTATCCTAACCAGGCTTGTAAAGTGACCTATGTATTTCTGGTATTCGTGACCTCGGCTATTCCTGACTTTGATTCTCTCTTGTAATATGTTAAATCCGGCCATTTTAAGGCCCTGTAATACGGCTTTTGGACCTTCGCTTTGTGGGTATCCTTTTTCCTGACTGTAAGGGTAATGGCAATCGTAACACATTGTCCTGTTGCATGACCCAATTTCGGTCAAGCTTTAGATGTCGGACAGATGGCCTCACATTTGACACTATAATACTTTGTTATACAGAGGAGTTCATGGTCCTGTGGCTGCAAAATAAGCCCAAATTATCACCCCTCCGCCACCATGCTTGACATTATGGCTAAACATCTCCACTTTGGTCTTGTCTGTCCAAAGGACAATGTTCCAGAATTTGTGTGATTTGTTCAGAAGCAGCTTTGCAAACCTAAGCCGTGCTGCAATGTTTTTTCAGAGAGAGGCTTTCTTCTTGCAAACCTTCCAAACAAATCTTGTTCAGTCTTCTTCTAATTGTACTGTCATGAACTGTAACATTTGACATGCCAACTGAGGCCTGTAGAGTCTGAGATGTAACTCTTGTTGGTTATTTTGCAATTTCTATGAGCATTGCACAGTCTGATCTTGGGGTAAATTTGCTGGGACATCAACTCCTGTCTTGAATCTTTTTCCACTTTTGAATAATATTTCTCACTGTAGAATTATGGACTTTAATTTTTTGGATATGACTTTTAATCCTTTCTAGTTTGATGGGCAGCAACAATTGTTTCTCTAAGATCACTGCTGATGTCTTTCCTCCTTGGCATAGTGTTAGCACACACCTGAATTCTCCAGACCAGCAAACTGCTAAAACTTCGGCTTTTATAAAGTGGTCACACTTGTTGATGATAAATTAATCAAGAGCATTTGATTAGCAGCACCTGTCTGCTACTTAGCATCATAATTCCTATGGAAGCAGTCAGGATGCACTTAGTTTTTTACACATGGCTTCTCCATTTTGGGTTACTTTATGTCAAATAAATCATGACATAGTGTAATATGTCATTTGCTAAGACTGTAACGGAGCTTCCTGTACCCCAGTTGGGTACATCCGCTGACGGATGCTCCTAGTGCTCACTGAGGACTCCAAGCACTCCACCAGACACCATCAGCACCACAGTCCCCATGTCCAGCTTGGCTGGGAACTCGCAGTCTCTTACCCCCCTGTTTAGGAGATAATTGAGTTAATTACTGTATCAACTCAATTATCTCCAAACTAAAAAATACATGTTTTTACATATTTCTGAAAACACCCCAAAAATATAGAAGACCTGCATAAAACATACATTTCTTGATAGCCCTGATCTGGGGGAACAACATACTTAAAAATCACCCAGATCGGTTCAGGGGTTCAATAGTTAGCTGGAGGTCACATTTCTGCCCGGCCGCTCACGAGGTTACTGCCCAGAATAGTTCCATAGGTTCAGCTTGGTCTGCCATTCTATTTCAGGGGTAAGGAAACACATTACAATAATGAAAGGACCATTCGTGTATCTGATTCTCCAGTGTCTCTTGTTCGTGTGCTTTAATGTACCGAATGCCACTGTGTTCATATGAAAAAGAAACGAATTGCTGGAAGTCCCAGCGGTGTTCGTGCAAACGAGTGCCCAAAAACAGTTCCATGCGCTCAATGACAAAACACTGCTGGCCGTTCGACAGTTTACGATGAACGCCGCCACATGTTCGTGCATATGAACGATGACCACACAGCTGTTCGTCAATTAAGCTGCGGTTAACCACAGCTTCAGGGAGGTTACTAGGCTGCACACTGCACTTGCGGGTGGTCCGGCTTTTCGTCAGTTTTTTCGGTAAACGAACACCATAAGCCTAATCCGTTTGACAAGCCACATATACTGCCCCATAGCAGAGAAAAAGGCACGAACAGTGTTTTTAGCCCAAAGTTCATCACAGGGCCATAGTCAGAGGGCAGGAGGCTGGCAAACAGGCCCCTCCAAAACCCAGTGGCGAGGTCATTTTCGACACAGAAACAAATTATTATTATTATGTCCTGATGTAAATCCATAGAATTTAAAGAGGGTGTACTTTATTTTTCCCATAACTGTATATCAGAAAAAAATTGGGGATTCAGTTAAAGTTTATGGCCATATTGTGTTAAGCACATCTCTACATCAAATTAGTGTAGGACCAGGCCCGGTCTTTGTGGAAACTGGGCTAAGGCCATGTCCCTGTACAGTACTATGTCCCCTTCAAATCCCCTACAGCTCCATATCTCCTTCCAACACGCTGCAGCCCCATGTTCCCCTTGCACACCTAGCTACCAGTCACAGTGTTTCTATGAGATAAAATAAGTAAACTATTGCACATCTATTGGTCAAGAAGAAGTAGAAGTAGAATAAACATTTTGACAATTTTCGCTAGGTGGCAGTGTTTGCTCCAAGTTTAATGCAAAATAATTATTTCTAAACGGACACGTCACCTTACAGTTGTGCTCACAAGTTTGCATAACCTTGGATACTTTGGAATTGGTAATATATGTACCATTTTTAAAGAAAACATAAGTGAGCAGGCAAAACACATTTCTTTTATTTCTTATGGGATTTATATTCAACTGTAGGTTACAACAGAATGGGACAAACATAAAACAAAACATGGCAACAAAGAAAAAATATGAAATGACCCATGTTCAAAAGTCTGCATACCCTTAGTTCTTAACAGGCCCGGACTGGCCATCGGGCACACCCTGCCGGTCTATGCAGGGCCGGCGCTATCCGAGCGCCGGCCCCGCTGTCTTCCATGGAGGGCCGGTGGGGAGATCAAAGATCTCCCTCACCGGCCCACATGCACTCAAACGCGGCCGCCGGCGGGGAGAGAGGGGAGGGGAGCCAGCCGCCAGGAGAGAGGACCCGGCGGAGCTCTAACTTGCAGCTCCGCCGGGTTTCTCTCGCGAGATCCGGACCGTTGCTATGGCAACCGGCCGGGTCTCGCGAGAGTGAACTCTAGCCCCAAAGGGCTAGAGTTCACTAACCACGAGGACCACCAGGGATGGCTGGCTGCAGCACGATCCCCCCACCCCCCCCCCTTCCAGACTACAGGTAAGAATAGAGGGGGGGGGGATATAATGTATTTATTATTTATTAGTATGTATTTTTATTATTTATTATTAGTATTTATTATTATGTATTTTTATTATTTATTATTAGTATTTATTATTAGAATTTATTAGTATGTATTTATTATTTATTATTAGTATAGTATGTATTATTTATTATTAGTATTTATTAGTATGTATTTATTATTTATTATTAGTATTTATTATTAGTATTTATTAGTATGTATTTATTATTTATTATTTATTTATTATGTATTTATTTTTATTATTTATTATTACGTATTTATTTTTATTTTTTAGTAAAACATTAATAGTGCCATTTACCTGCCTCCCCAATACAAAATCCTAAAGCACCCTAACACATACACAGCACCCTAACACCAGCACCCTAACATTGACACAGCAACCTAACACACACACAGCACCCTAACACCAGCACCCTAACATTGACACAGCAACCTAATACACACACAGCACCCTAACATTGACACAGCACCCTAACACACACAGCACCCTAACACACACAGCACCCTAACACCAGCACCCTAACATTGACACAGCACCCTAACATTGACACAGCACCCTAACACACACACAGCACCCTAACACACACACAGCACCCTAACACACACACAGCACCCTAACATTGACACAGAACCCTAACACACACACAGCACCCTAACACCAGCACCCTAACATTGACACAGCACCCTAACACCAGCACCCTAACATTGACACAGAACCCTAACACACACACAGAACCTTAACACACACACAGCACCCTAACACACACACAGCACCCTAACACCAGCACCCTAACATTGACACAGCACCCTAACACCAGGACCCTAACTTTGACACAGCACCCTAACATTGACACAGCACCCTAACACACACACACAGCACCCTAACATTGACACAGCACCCTAACACCAGCACCCTAACATTGACACAGCACCCTAACACACACACAGCACCCTAACATTGACACAGAACCCTAACACACACACAGCACCCTAACACTGACACAGCACCCTAACACACACACAGCACCCTAACACCAGCACCCTAACATTGACACAGAACCCTAACACACACACAGCACCCTAACACCAGCACCCTAACATTGACACAGAACCCTAACACACACACAGCACCCTAACACCAGCACCCCAACACACACATAGCACCCTAATACCAGCACCCTAACATTGACACATCACCCTAACACACACACAGCACCCTGACACTCACACAGCACCCTAAAACACACACAGCACCCTAACACCAGCACCCTAACATTGACACAGCACCCTAACACCAGCACCCTAACATTGACACAGCATCCTAACATTGACACAGCACCCTAACACATACAGCAACCTAGCACACACACACACACACATCACCCCAACACATACACAGCAACCCAACACACACACAGCAACCCAACACACACACAGCACCCAACACACACACACACACACACACACATCACCCTCAAATACACATCACCCTCAAATACACATCACCCTCAAATACACAGAACCCTCGCACAGTGCCCTCACACACAGCGCCCTCACACACAGCACCCTCCCACACACATACTGCACCCTCCCACACACACTATACTCCTCACAAATGCACACTACACCCCTCACACACACAGCACCCCCCAAACACACTGCACCAGTCACACACTCACTAGATCTCCTATACGCACTCCTGAGTCCTTCAAACACACACTAGATCCCCTACACACAGACGCTGCACCACTTACACACACACTACATTTCTGACATACACACTCAGGATCCCCTATGAACACACTAGATATCCTTTAAGCAAACACATAGTGTCTCCATAAATGGGATACAGTGAGTATTCCAATTATGGAAACCCCTGAGACAAGTTTCAAGCAAACACAATGCAAGCATGTTATTAAATTTGCTTGCGCTGTGCAGATCAAATACAGGGCCCTTTTCTCATGCCCTGGAAGAGCATTGAACCAACATGCTCACTTTGAGATGGGGCGTGCTTGTCATTGGGGATGACAAAACACACCCTATCTGGCCCCGCCCCCTTTTCAGTGGGCCGCTGTAATTAAAAATGCCCGGGCCGAATTTTTTCCCCAGTCCGGCCCTGGTTCTTAATACTGTGTATTACCCCCTTTAGCATCAATGATAGCGTGCAGTATTTTGTAATATTTGTTAATGAGGACCTTTATTCTTGCAGGTGGTATAGCTGCCCATTCATCTTGGCAAAATGCCTCCAGGTCATGCAAAGTCTTTGATCGTCTTGCATGAACCGCACGTTTGAGATCTCCTCAGAGTGGCTCGATGATATTAAGGTCAGGAGGCTGTTATGGACACTCCAGAACCTTCACCTTTTTCTGCTGTAACGACTGGAGGGTCAACTTGGCCCTTTGCTTAGGGTCATTTTCGTGCTGGAAAGTCCAAAAGTGTCCCATGCGCAGCCTTCATGCAGAACAGTATTTTCTGATAACCTGATGCTTTCATCTTGTCATCAGTTTTCACAAGATTCCCCGTGCCTTTAGATTTCACACAACCCCAAAACATCAGTGAGCTGCCACCATGCTTCACAGTGGGGATGGTATTCTTTTCACTATAGGCCTTGTTGACCCCTCTTCAAACATAGCGCTTATGTTTGTGACCATAAAGCTCTATTTTAGTCTCAGCACTCCAAATTACAGTGTGCCAGAAGTCATGTTAAGGTGTCGTCGGGCATATTGTAATTGAGCTTTTTTGTGGCATTGGCCCAGTACAGGCTTCTTTCTGGCAACTCGACGATGCAGCCAATTTTTGTTATCGTCTTATTGTGCTTCTTGAAACAACTACACAGTCTTTCCTGTGGGCTTTTCTTTGTAACACAAACAATTTTCTAGGTAGTTGTGGCTGAAATCTTTCGTGGTCTACCTGACCTTTGCTTGGTTTTATTATTATTATTATTATTATAATATTTATATAGCACAAACAAATTCTGTAGTGCTTTACAATGGGTGGACTAACAAACATGTAATTGTAACCAGACAAGTTTGACGTACAGAAATAGAGGGGTGAGAGCCCTGCTCAATGAGCTTACATGCTAGAGGGAGTGGGCTAAAGTGGCACAAAAGGTAAGTGAAGTATTAGGGAAGTAGATTGGTAGAATAGTAGTCAATAAAGACTTAGTGTGGGTTTTTTTGGAGCTATTAACAGTTTAATTGATATGCTTTTGTGAAAAAGTAAGTTTTTAATAATTTTTTGAAGGAGTGGAGACTGGGTGAGCACCTAACGGAAAAGGGAAGGGAGTTCCACAGGAACGGTGCAGAGAAGTCTTGGATACGAGCCTCAGAGGTGGTAGTATGAACAGAGGATAGATGCAGGTCTTCGGGCGAACGTAGGGGCTTAGACAGAACATACTTGTGTATTAGGGAGGATAAATAGGTGGGAGTAGCATTATGTAGAGATTTGAAAGCAAGAACCAGAATTTTATATTGAGCCCTATATCTTACAGGAAGTCAGGGACTGACAGAGGGGTGAGGCGTGGGAGGTACGGGCGGACAGGAAGATGAGCCTTGCTGCCAGATTCATTATAGAGTGCAATGGGACAAGTTGGGAGCACATAAGACTACTGAGAAGAAGATTGCAGTAGTCAAGGCGAGAGAGGACCAGCACCTTAGCCGCATCAGGCGTTCCATAGGGGCAGATAAGCGCAACGTATTTTAGATGGAAGCGGCTGGATTTGGTGATAGACTAGACATGAGGGGTGACAGAGAGGTCGGAGTCAAAGAGAACACCTAGGCAGCGAGCCTACGTGGTGGAGCTGATGGTAGCACCATTAACGTGGAGGGAGACAGAAATGGGAGTAGCAACACTTGAGTGTGTCTGTCAGTGAGTATTCAGAGTGTGTGTCAGTGTGTCTGTCAGTGTGTATGTGTGTCCCAGTGAAAGTGTGTCTCAATGAGAGTGTGTCAGTGTGTCTGTCAGTGAGTATTGAGAGTGTGTGTCAGTGTGTCTGTTTGTCAGTGAGTGTTTCAAATCAGTGAGAGTGTGTGTCAGTGTTTCTGTCAGTGAGTGTGTGTGTCTTTTTACTGTGGCAGCTGGATAGCAAGCCAGAGGTTTTTTTAATTATTTTCCCGCTGGGCTTTTTGTAATCAAGTGATCAACTGCATAAAACCGGATGCATTTGGTCCAGATTTCCTCTAAAACTGTTGCTTTGTAAATGTCAGAATCCTATAGATTCTATGGGATTGGATGCACAAAGCACTAATTTAAAGTTGACACCAAATATCTCTAGCAGAATGGTATAGATTTGGTCAGGTTGACTAAATTCTGAACATAATTGGATTTAGTAAACATGAGAATTGCCAGTCTGGTTGAAAATCTGCCATTCACATATAGTTTTGTTTTGGTGTTTAGTAAATGGATTGAGTGTAGCAAGTATTTGTTTGTATTTCTTGTTTTGACTACTAAGCCTTCAGAAATTTTGAGGTGTTGCAATTAGAACGGGGATGTAACTGAGATTTATTTAGAGACAATTATTGCAATAGCATGTCAATATAGAGAAGATGAACGATGGTGTAAAATAGTGTTTTTAACTCAGATTAATTTCTATGTAGAGAGGTGTTAATGGGGCTGTAAAGAGGAGTGTTCTGTAAGGAGATGTCAGTGCTTAATGAAGTATAAATGAAGGTGTGTTAATTTCTGGAATTGTCCACAGAGGTGCAGTATTTGGTCAAAAGTGTTGGAACACCTGGCCAATACCAACAGTGACATTTATGACATTGTATTCTAAATACATAGACATAAATATGTAGTTGGTCTCCCATTTGCAGCTATAACAGCTTCCTTGCCACTGGTAAGGCTTTACCAAGATTTTGGAGTGTTTGTGTTGGAATTTTTGCCCATTCATCCAGTAGAGCATTTGTGAGATCAGGCACTGATGTTGGACTTCCACACCAACCTCATCCAGCCATGTATTTATGAATACCTTACTTTGTGCATTGGGGCACCGCCATTCTGTAATGAAAAAGGGCCTCCCAAAACTTTCCCACAAAGTTGGAAGCAAAACATTGTCCAAAATGTCTTGGCATACTGAAGCCTTAAGATTACCTTTCACTGAAAGTGAGAGCCCTAGCCCAACATCTAGGGCTTTACAGTTGGCAAAATGCAGCCAGGTAGGTAACATTCTCCTGGCATCTGCCAAACCCAGACTCACCTATCAGATTGCCAAACAAAGAAGCATGATCTGTCACTTCACAAAACAAGTTTCCACTGCTCCAGAGTCCAGTGGCGGCACTTTGCACCACTTGATCAAACACTTGGCATTGTACTTGGTGATATGAGGCCTGCATGTAGTTTGGAAACCCATTCCATGAAGCTCCAGCAACCAGTTTTTGTGCTGATATTAATGCCAGTGGAAATTTGGAATTCTTCAGCTATGGAATCAGCAGAGTGTTGGCAACTTACATCCACCATGAGCTTCAGCAGTCGGTGACCACACTCTGTGATTTTCGTGGATGAGTTGCTCCTGTTCCCAATGCTTCCAGTTTGCTATAGTGCCACTTGCGTGGAATATCTAGCAGGAATAAAATGTCACAAACTGATTCAATGAAAAGGTGGCATCTTATCATAGTGCCACGCTTGAATTCACAGATCAATTTTTTCACAAATGTTTATAAATGCAGATTGCATGTCTGGCTGCTTGATTTTATACACCTGTGGCAACGGAAGTGTGTCTCAATACGTTTGTCCATATAGTGTGTGTCTATTAATGATTAGGGAGTTTAAGTTGCAGTCTGGGAAATTATATTTAATAGCAGTGTCAACATTTGCTGACTGCAAAGGTTTGGCAGTCTGAAATCGGACTGGGAAAATCATGTGGAAGACTGGACAGGGATTACAGATATTAAATGATACTTCGGGCAGGGATTAATAAAATGAGAGATCTTTCGGCTTCAAATTGCAGGGATCGGGTATCAAATGGACTTCCGGGCAACAAGTCATACCGTTAGCAAATAGTTTGACTACTTACTTTACCCAAGGGTAGTCATAGTACTATAACCACTACCAGTCCT